TTTCATCTCCATCCAGTCAGAGCACAGGTGTGAGGAATGCTTGTTTCTCCTTCAACGCTTCCTTTCCTGTTTGAGTAGAGTTGTGGCTTTTGTCTTCCAGCCAAAGGAGCAGAGGAGAACTCCTCTAAAAATAGCTGCAAGGTCTCCTGTACTGTGCGTGAATGCAGTTTTATTGTTTTGTCTTTAGCAAGCACTTCCTGATATTTGCTGTTCAGAGAGCTGTTGTGGCTGCTGGCTCTCTGTGGTTTTGCTTCTTTCTCCCAGGACAGTAGACTAGAGTCTCTCACTGTGCAATTTTCAAATGTTTTATAAGTGTGGGGTGTGATTTTTGGTTTGTTGCTGAATTCTGGACATGAGAGTGTGCTGATAAGCAGCATATTATCCTAAACAAGAACTGGGCAAAGGATAGATTCGTAGCAGGAGAAGAAATGTTTGTAATGGGAATGAACATGGGAGAATAAATGGTGAAAACACATTTCTGTCATTAGGTCAGTTTGCAAACTGAATTAGGTAGGACATTAATTTACGTCAAATGCACTGACTTCAGACTATTTGGCAAGCCTGGTCGTTTATTTCTGGTTTAGGTTTGCTCTGATGTTTTGTGCAGATGACTGACGTGCACCGAAATCTGACCCTGTGGCTAGTGAATTTGCTGAGACACATGACAGCAGACCACTTGTCCTGGGAGTGTCCCCAGCCGCAACAGTCAGACACCGAGACAGATGAGGAGCTCAGGATTCTTGGGGCTCGTAAGCTGGAGAGGGAAGCTGAAGAGCTGGTTGCAGAGATGGGCAGACTTTCTGGTTCTGTAATCAGGTATAAGCAGAGGTTTTCCATTTCATCTAAGGGGCTTTTCTGAAGAAAAAATGTGTAGTGTGCTGAGAGAATGATCATGGTGACAGATCCCATCAGTTTGGTTGTCCTTGGATCTTTCCCCTTACTGGAATTTGTAGGGAGCCTAATAATATAGGAACACCTAAAGAGAAAGGCAGTGCCTGCTTTATACCTAGTACTGCTATAAAACATGCTAGCATCTGTGATCGCATGGGCTCTGCCCACACTTCTGAGGGTGACTTCCGAGGACATAAGAGTAGTACAGGCAGCAAGTCTGCAGTCCAGGTCACCTGGAGCAAAGCCTCTGCTTGATTCGAGATCTGTGCTCACACGTCCTCTGTGCACCTCTGTACACCTCAAGCTGTCCGAGAGGTCGCTGTGTGAGTGGAGCAGGCAAGGATTGCTTTCTGCAGACTTCTTTAGTGCAGAGGTAAACAGATAGCTCCTGTGTCCTACTGACAGCAGCGGGATCCTGACTGAAGGGAATAAAGTACTTAAGGGCGGGCACTCCTGCAGGGCCAATGACATTCTGCATCTTTGCAGCTGCTGCTGCGAGATTGTCAATGCAATCATTCAAAAGAAGTGGTCTGAGATGATTTAGAAGCTGATTTTGAGCTGGAGGAGCTGAAGATGATCAAGGTAAAATGTGCCTGTTTTCCAGCTGTCTAGGTCTAAGGTAGAAAAGACTGCATCTGCTTTATAAAAGGTAGAGAAAAATATATGTGAGGGTTTCAAGTAGGAGGGAGACTCCTGCTATCCCAGTGGATTACCCAGGTCCCCCAAGTTTCCTACTGACTCTGCAGTCCTGGGAAGCAGATAAACCTGGGTCAGGTTGTATTCAGTTTTCATATTTCCTTACCCTGTTTCAGGGTATATATGTAAGGGCTCTCCTGCAAGATTTATTCTGTATGAGTGACAGTATATCCACCTCTGGTTCAAAGCTTGTCAGAGCCATGTACATCCAGACTCGAGTGGTGCTTAGGAGCTCCTGGAGGTACTTGGTGCTGTATACCCTTATATGGATGCAGCTGAAACTTTGTGCAGTCAACTGACCTACCTGCTGCCTCCTTATTCTACACTTGCACATGAAGCTCTCAATTGCTACCTCTGTTTAACCAAGCTTTGCCTGCGCTTTAGGAATGCGAGAGGTAGAGCCTTCCTGAAGCCCAAGGCTTTCCTGAGCACAGGCCAAATGGCATTGCTTCAAAGTATGTAAGAAGCTTCTCTGCAGGGATTGAAAATACTTGTGGTTCTGTTCTGCATTACCTTAGTGAGTGAAAAATGGACCCCTGGGATTTATGCTCGTTTCTCCCCATGTGGGCTGGGGCAGTGGCTGTGACATAGATGTTCTGCACTGGCCTGAGCAGAAGCCTGTTGGAGGAATTAGTTGATGGGAGTGATTAGCTGGTGACAGATGCCATGTCTGAAAACTTGGAGAAATGTGTTTCCCTTTTCCTTTGTAGGATGAGGATGGAAGGGTCCAGGTAGGTCACTGGAACAGATAAAGACAGAAAGGTGGAATAATTTAACTGACTGAATGAATATGATAACAGCTATTTTTCCTGCTCAGTAATCCCTGAATAATAGTTTGCTGTTATGTCTTCCCAGACAGAGTGCTGTAATTGGATTCAAGCATGTAGTCTTCTCCTTTCAGAGGTCAAAGGCACTCCCGTCTCCTTTCTGCATTTAGAAGAATTGAGAAACCTCTTTGGATCGGAGGTAGAACTGAGAAACTTCTTTGGATCAGAGGTATATATAGACTGCAATTGCTGTTCTAGGTTGAACCAGTCTGAAGACCTGCTTCAAAACTTTTCCTTAAGGAAGCAGCTACAGTTCAGTCTGAGGGAGGGTTCAGCATGGGGACCTGTACACACCCAAAGCGGCAGCTAGAACTACAAGGTGTTATGATTGTAAACTGGTTAAAAATCACAGTGCTTCTTGGGAGGGCAGGTCTGAGGCAAAACCAGAGCTTCAGTGGAGCTAGGACATTTTACTCCACTGATAGATCAGTTCCCCATGGTGTAGGATAGCTTTTGCTTCACCCATTGAGGTGGACTTTGGCTGGAATGCTGGTGGTTGCCTTGCCCAGATCAGGCTGAACCTCCAGTTTAATTCCTTACGTGCTAGATGCATGTCTGACACTGCCTGTGATAATTAGACATGTTTTGTAGATGGTTGGCCTGGCATTGGCCTAATTTCATGTGAAACAGGCTAAATTCTTATGAGGAGGAAATGGATGTAGATCTATTGTTTTGAACAATTTGTTTGTGCCAGTTCTGAACTCAATCCCCAGGCAAAGTGGCACTGTTCACGACCTTGCGTACAGACAGTGCTCATGTGCTGCCTCTCATTTTCTGTGTGCCATGGCCTATACAAAGCAGGTATGCCACAGTGGGTCCTGCTTATGTAATGTTCAGTAATTAGCATATTTGTTTGTGATTTGAAATATATTCATACTTAGGATCTCCTAGGTAGCTGGAGTGCAAGTCTAAATATGTGCAAGAGAAAGTCAGTTAGCTTTGCCTAGGTTGCTTGGATGGACAAAGGGAGCGTGCTCCTAACCTGATCCTGATGGTGCCTTACAGGAATTGCGGTTCAAGCTTAAGGACGCTATAATTTCTTCAGCTCAGGGAGAACTTGAAGCTGAAGATGCCAACAGCAATAGGAAACTCATAACAGAGGAAGAAACATTAGAAGCCAAGGAGGAAATAGCTGTTCTGCAGGTGACTGTAGTGGCTGCAACATGCCGCTTTCCAGCAGCGCCGGTTTTTTTGTTGCTCAGAGTATGCAATGTGAAACAAGGCTTAACAGCTGCCTTGAATGCCACTAGGCTAATGGTTTCTCCTATTTCTTGTTCCCTTTCTCTCTCGGCAGCAGGCAGGTGCTGGTATGGATTATCTGACTGAGGACAATGAAGCTACTGCAGACATGATCAGATATGTAGGACATGACTCCAACATCCACCTGAAGTCTCTGAAGTCAGACATCGTTTCGGTTACAGGGGTAGGAGTCTCCACTGCACCCACGGTTTTAGCCTGTTGGCAGAGATTTGGAGCAGGGTTTCAGCTGTCTGCTCAGATTTTGTTATGAGACCCCATTTAACATTTGCGTCAGACCTGCTGGGGCAGTGCAAGGTGCTGGTGTTCTCCCTGCTTCCTCTCTGCTTTGTATATACCCTTGCACAAAGATCAGCATCTCACCCTTTGCTAGCAAACACTGAGTTTTAAAATTAATTCAGTTTGCAGGGTTTACGTAGATGTGTCATGAAGTCCTTTATAGATCTTTTAACGATGCCCTTCTCTGAAACCATAAATGTGTTTTATATAGTCAGCCAATCCTACTGAACACTCCAGCTTTCTAAATCTTTCTTTTGGGTACCTTGCCAGCAGCTGCTCAGATTTCAGGTTTCAGCATTATCTTTGCTTCTGTCTTTCAGAGAATGAGAGATCCGTGCTCAGAATGCAGAGAAGAGATCTGAAGGTCTTGAAGAGAAGCTGGAAGAAGCTCTGCAGAGAATCAAGGAGCTGGAAAGTGAGCTGGAGAAAGAGGGGAAAGTCATCCCAGAAGCAACACATAAAAAAGGGGGAGGTCAGGAGAATCAATATTCTGAACCCCCTCCCAGACTCAGAAAGGGAAGGAATCTTTGAGGACACCTCATTCATCTCTTGTTTAGTGCAGGACCCTCTCCTCCTGGGCACATCCTAGGGTTTTGTCTAGACTCTTTGCCAGAGGCCAAGCAAGGAGGCTTTTAAGATGATTGCAGATCAGGGCAGGAAGAACTGCTGAACATGGTCTGTTTTTAAGACGAAATAATTTTGTTTGATGTTGATGTATGACACAGGGTCTATATCTAGGAGATCACCGTAATTGACTTCATCTTCCTTGTAAAAGAGTGTTCCGTATTACAGTCAAGAAGATCTGTTTAGGATCACTGATTTGGGGGTAGAGAAGAAATAATGTTCCAAGTCCCTTCGCTCTCAGAGGCCACAGACCTTTTGTGTTTATAGCACAGGACACTCTTGCTGTCTCCAGGAGTTATCTGAACACTGCTGACCTACTGTGTGGCAGTGAGTTCCTTAGGTCACATCTTTGTTGTGGATGGAAGCATTTCCTCATGTCCTTTCTTAGCTGGATCTACACTGATAGAAGAGGTGTGGAGAAGGAGAAAGAATGGGAATTAAAACTACTTCCCTTAGTCCTTCAGTGTATCCTGTCTCATTGACATCAAAGTGGGAGGAGAGGCTGATTTGTTTGTTAAAGATGTGATACCTTGGGCACGTTTTACCTCTGTGGTATTTTTAATGGCTTTGGTTTGTTGTTTTGTTTTTCTTTCAGAAAAATGTTTCCAAGAAACCATCTCAGAATTCACGGCCTGCGCAAGTCCCAAAGCTTCTTCTGGCCAATCCAAGGGATCCAGAAAAAGCAGCCATTAAAGAACAGCAATGCCTGAGTAGTTTCTTAGTGCCCATTCACGTAGCATTTTACCCCCGATTCACTGCCCTTACTCCTTACTTGTTACCCCAACATGTCTTTGCCATCTCAGCATTTATGCCGTTCTTCTGGCTGGCTCTGCCACTTCCACGTCTGTCTGTCTTGTTCTCTACCTCATCCCACAGCTCTAATATCTTTACAGCTTGTCTTCCTTGCAATACCATTGCTATCTCAACTTTCTCCTACCCACACCTCTCCTGCCTGCGTGCCCTCCTCGCCTTGTCCTGTGCTTGCCTCCTGCTTGTGTTCATCAGCCTCTTCTTGTTGCTCTGTCTCTTTCAGCCTTGTCGCTCTTGGATCGTGCAAGTAAGTCGTTTGCACCTCTTTCCTCTCGTATCAAGGGTTTTTTTTCTCAGCGCCAGCATGGCCTCGTCGTGTATCTGAGAAGGGGTACCTCCTTCACCTTCCGGGCTTCAGGTGATCCAGTTACCACCTAACCTACCTGGTTAGGAAGAAATTGTACAGAAACTGTACAGAATTGTACGGACAAATTTTGTTCATCTCTGAATCTTCTTCTTTTGAAGGTTTTGTCCTTCTTTCAGAAACTGTGAGGCAGCCTGAAGCTGTTGCATGATCCTGAAGGCCTTTCTCAGACTGCTGCCACAGGAGAGCTGCCTGCAACCAAAGTCACAAAACCCAACTTCAGGAGATGCCAGCTCACCCTCTCGGTGCACTAGGATGGCATTTAAAATGCATGCTCTGTCCCCCTGTGATTTCTGCCTTTGGCCCCGTGGCTCCCCATCTGCAGTAACCCCTACAGCCTCAAGAGTGAGGAGACCACCAGGGCCTTCTGCCTGTCGGGTCCCCAACCCAAGGCAGTCCACATGGCTACAAAGCTCTGCAAGGCCAGCCAAGCCCTGCCTGGGTTTGGTGTGACTCTGTGGCTTGACCCACTCTGAGCTCAGAATAGGAGGTGGTGAAGCTGTCAGGAGTCACATCAGCTCACAAACAGCCCTTGCCAACTCCCCCAGAGTAAATACTATTTTGGAAACATCATATATAGCTAATTCTGAAGTACATTTTTGAATGATGTTTTACTTCTGCAAGGTTTTTGAATGTGATATCTCCTGGGGGTAAAATGACAAGTTTCTGACAACTCTGTATATGTAAAAGACAGAGGATCCTGCTGGAGCAAGGCGTGTTCTTTGGAACCGCAGATGCTCTTAGCTATCACCTGCCTTTTCTGTAACTGCAGAAAAGTTCCATGCTTGGAAAAAAACTATGACTTCTGCAGATACGAGTGCAAATAGGGTAATGTGTGTGCCCAGACATAGTACTGCATGTCTCTTGACAGTTCTTTCTCAGGCTAAGTGTTGTCCCTTTGAGGCATTATCTGCAGAGGTGTTGGTCCTTGATGTGCCAAGGAATCTTGGTCTGGATGGATCATTTTACACGGAGTTAGAAACACAGGCAGTGAAGTGTTCAGAGAAAGGATCACCTGCAGCTCGCTCTGTGTAGTGTTACACCCTTTTGCCCTAGGTTGGGAAACAGGGGCCTGTTCCAGCAGCAGGAGAAATAACTAGAACGAGCCTTAGAGAAGTAACTAGAGAGCTCATGTGCGCCTGTAGAAGATGACAGAGCTGTTGCACTTCCCAGAGCTAGTTTTCCATGAGTTGATCACTACTGAGATCTATTACAGACACACAAGCAGGAGCCGCAGCCATCCTGCTGACCTCTCCTGAGAGGGTTGCAGTGGCAGAATGATTTGGATGGGAGGTCACACCAGGAGCTCGGATGCTCGTGTGATAGCCGAGAAGTTCACAGGCAGATTTTTCCCACTTCCCAGCCACGTGTAAAGAGGGCTGGTTCACCAGGTGTCCTTGCTGTGAAAAGGCTGGCAAATACTTGTAGAGAAAGTATTGAGCATTGAGAAGTAGACCGCAGGGAAATGAAAGGACTGATTAAATATGCAATATGTGGTACTTAGTACAAGTGGGACGCTTGTCCTTTGCAGCAGCAGTAAGACAGTGCGTACAGGCCATCCTCGTGACACAGCTGCATTTAACAGAAGTATTACTGATGATATATGCCAATGTGAGTGAGTGTTACCAGCAGGCAAAAAGGGACTGAATAAGACTGAATAAAATGAGTGAAAACACCAGAGTGAGCGACTGGCTGGGTAACCCCTGCTAGGCACGTGCATGATGGCCAACTACCATGTGGGCAATTAAGAGAAGGGCCACAAAGTGACCTCTGTGTTGGCCTCTACAGGCCATGAGCAGCAGGACATTGGTCCTGGGAAGGACTGTGCAGGGGAGGTCTGCTTTGAGGCAAGAGGAGATGCTGCAGGTCAAGTAAAAGGGCAAGAGCAGAGCTGACATCCACCCAAAGGGCACCAGGATCAGAGAAACCGAGTGCAGTGGTGTTTCCTTTGACAGTGCTCCCTATCTTTGCCAAGGGAAAGGATCGCAGCGTCTGTAGGTTCCCAGACATTTCAAATAGTTTTGGGGAGGGAAGATGTATAAGAGTTTTGAAGATTATAGGAGATTTGAGGGCTTTCTCTGTTCCTTCCCTGTGTGTAGAGGTTACCAAGGCAGCTGCAGCAGGCAGAAGCATGACTGTTCTGGAGGCTTTCAACTGCCTTTGCCCCAGCGGTGGTGGATCCCCCCCGTGCCAGCTCAGTGGGAGTTGGTTAAACAATCACCTCGAAAACGTCCGGACGCCCACCAGCCCAGCCCTTGTCCTGCCTCCCCCTCCAGTGGAATCGAGAAGCAGCACAGCCTGCCTGTCCCTGGCACCACCAGTGTGCCTTGAGGGGAGCTGCGGAGCCGTAGAGGCTGCCCTTTGCTCCTCTGCCTTTTCCTACTCGTCTACAACTAGGCCTAAACACCTCGGTTGCCTCTGCGTGTGTGTGTGTGTGTGTGTGTGTGTGTGTGTGCATGGGTGGTGACTGAGATCCCATACCCAGGACCGCGCCACAGGACCCAGCTCATTGCCTCGTCGCAGGAGGAGCAGACTGGCAGCGACCACCAACCTGCCCGTGTGCTGAGGCCCTTCGTATTCCCCCACCGTCTGTCGGGCTCCCATCTCTGCCTGCCCGACAGTTCAGTTTGGGGCCCTAGGGTGTCGGGGTGCCTCTGGCCCTGGGACAGGGAAGGGATGACACCCCCACTCCCTCTCCCCCCTGCTCATACATGTGCCAGCTCTGATCCTGGCACTCTGTATTTTTCCCTTTCCAAAACAAGCAAAGGCTTCTTCCATGTATGATCCACTTTATATTACAGACCTGGGCTGACTTCCCTGCTGCCTCCAGAGCAGGACCTGCTGGTGGGCTGCCTTCTGGCTCCTCTCTGAGCGTGACTGACCAGGGGCAGTGTGGCAACCATTTCTGGGACAGCTCTCAGAGCATGGGTGAGTCCTTCTTGTCTTTCGGGCTTTCTGGGAGCTTTGTGGTGCCTGTGAGAAGGCTGCTTGCTGCTGGAGGACTGTGGATAGCCGGAGACAGCAGGTTCATGGAATCCAAAGGCAAGGGCAAGATGAAAGCAGCAGGTTTCTCTGCAGTAAGGGAGTGCAGTGCATGGAGGTAACGGAGCTGAGCAGCAGCAGGGGCACTGGACAGGATCTCAGCTGCCGTCCGCAGGGACTCAGAAGCAGCCTTTTCCGCCTCAGCAGCGATCACCTACCAAGCAGGGGAATAAAGAAAGTTTCTGTGAGTCTGGGAGTAAAGAGCCATGGACCATTCATTACAAAGGGAGGTTGCCACCATGCAGTTCCCAGGGCCAGTGGGATTATAATATTCCTGCTCTGTGAAAATCATGGCATGTATTAGACCTCTTGATGCTCCCAAAACTTTGGGACTTCATGTCTAACTTGTTTTCACTAGGCCCATCAGGGCTCACAGCTGGGCATACCCTTGCTCCAAACACATGGCAGGGGCAGCCCCCAGGCTAGGCTTGTGGGAGGGGTGCTGGACACCAGCCTTATCCAGGCCTCGAGCAGCACAGTGCAAGGGAGGGAGACCAGCCTGGGCTGAGCAAGGCGCAGGGTATGTGACAGTGGTGACAGCCCTGCAGTGGGCTCCTAGAGGAGAGTGAAATGCTGAGGGGGGAGAGATCCCCTTGGAGATGACTGTGAGCCCAGGGATAACCCCTGGCTGCAGCTCCCCTTGCTAGACACAGCTCTTGAACAGGAATTAAAGGAGACATATCTTCCCAGAGCTGTACCCTTCTGTGGCGTGTCCCAGGGACCTCAAACCAGGGGTGGGAAAGGAGGGAGGGATGCTTTGGCAGGAGATGGGAAGTATTTGGGGTTGGCATACCCGCACTTTGGCCTGTCTCTGGGCCTCTGCTTCCACAGCCAGGGACTGCCGGACTTCAGCAGGCAGCTGCACGTTGTTACTGTGGTAGTAAGGGACAGGGATTAGCTGGGCTCTGGGCTCTCCTGGTAGCACTGGATGGTCAGTCTGAGGCTTGGAATGGGCTCATCAGTCAGTCTCTGCAGAGCAGGTCACTCGTGCTTTTTGCTCTCTGGGTGTTCCCTCTTTGTATGTTCCACTTCAGCCTTCTGCCTCTATTCCCATCCTTCTTTTCCAGCCTGGTTTTCTAATGACCAGGCTTGCATTATCACTAGGGAGCAGAGAGACGTCTTCTCTCTGTGCCTCTGAGGCTTGAAGTCTAACCTCACTCTTTGTGAGAATCCACTGGGAGACTGATCTTAAGACAAGCCCAGGAATTTCCTTCTGTTCATAGATTTGCTCATTCACCACTTGCCTCTCTCTTCCATGGCCCTCTATATGATGAGCATGTCCTACCTTTCCACATGGGCTTCTGAGTGCTGAGCCCATCCCAGCCAGTGCTAAGACCCTGAGGCCTCTGGTCCAGAGTGGGACACAGAGGGTTCAGTGCCCACTGCAACTCTTGGTCTACCAGAAGTGGGTGCAAACTCTGCCTGCAGCAGCAGTGAAATGGTGATCAGATCCCAGCTAAGCATCCCACCCCAGATG